TGTTTTGTAAACAAATACATTCAAAAAAGCTTGTAACACCTGAGTCCCCTAAGCGAGTAGGTAAGGAAAGGGTGAGGTAAGTGTTTGTGCATCAAAAAATTACTCTTCCTTAAAATATACACTTGAAGTCTTCCTTTCAATATCTTACTTTATGCAAGCCATATGAATATTGAATTCAAATGTTCCACCAATAGCAGATTTTAATGTAGATGAGTTATTAAATAAGTGCGTCAATCATTTGAACATGTTTGAACAGTCAAATTTTTAATAGGCTTCACTAGATTAACCACAATAAATTTTCAATAAAGCTTGAGCAAATTATTTGCATCTATACGATGCCTTTAATGTAATTAGAATATCTCAAAGTTCTTCATAGTAGTAATTATTAAATGCAATTTAATGAGCCACAAAAAGATGGAGTAATGCTGGTAATCAGAAGCTTGTTCATAAGGGTAACGTTAGAGAGAGAGTTACGAAGAAATTCCAGAATTGATGGCCTCGGCATCAACAACAATTAGCAGAGCTGGAGTGATAGAAATTGGAGATGAACAACAATCCACAAGCTTAAACAATCCTACAAAGGATGAGGTCACAGAAATACCAGAAATAATGAATGAAAGAACATTAATTTTAAAATTGGAACATTGATTTAAACTTAAACCCAGTTCACCAGTGAGCCAGGAGCAGTATTTCTACAGATCTTGTTGCAAGTGAGGGTACAGGCAGGAAAGCAATGCTAATTCAAATTTGATGACTCCAAAGTCATTGATAAGGATTTCAGCAGCAGGCTTAGATAGGGTGGGATAGATAGAATTACTGAAGTGAGAGGGGATCTTCATGATGAAAGGGATTATGGGCTTAGAAGCTCAGCTTGGGGTCAAGTAGGATACTTATATTGAAAACAACCTGATTTAGTTTCAGACATCGGCCAGGAAGGGAATGAAATAATTACAGTTCACAAACTAGGGAACCAGAGCAACAAAAAGGGAAAGGAGAATGAAACACAAAAATTGGAGGAGGGAGAAACACAATGTGGGGAAAAGTTATTTAGTACAAGACTCCAAAATTTGCACAGAGATAGCAAGAACTGCAGATGCTGATGTCAGAATTAACACAGTGTGGAGCTGGAGGAATGCAGCAGGCCAGGCAGCATCAGAGGAGTGGGTGGGAGGGGCGGAAAGGTGGGAGAGATGATGGAGAGGTTGTGTCATGTCAAGGAGGTGGGGTTGAGAGGGAGGTTTGGATATGGGATGAGGTTGGGGATGGGGAGATTTTAAAACTGGTGAAACCATTTTAACTGCCCTTCCCACACCCTGGGTGACATGTCCATCTTGGACCTCCTCCAGTGTCACAACGACACCACCCGCAAACTGGAGGAACAACACCTCATATTCTGCCTCGGGATCCTACAGCCCAATGGCCTAAACATGGAATTTACCAGTTTTAAATCTCCCCACCCCCTGGCCTCATCCCACGTCCAACCCGCCATCTCATCCCGGCCTCCTCGTCGTTAGACAACCTGTCTATCTTCTCTCCCACCTATCCGCCCCTCCCATCTCACTTACCAATCCCCACCACTGCCTACCTGCACTCACCTATCACCGTCCCACCTACCTTCCTCAGCCCCACGCCTCCTATTTATTTCCCAGCTCCCTTCCCCCTCCCAATTTCTGAAGAAGGGTCCCAACCTGAAACATAAACTTTCCTGCTCCTCTGATGTTGCCTGGCTTGCTCTGTTCCTCCAGTTCAATAATGTGTTATCCAAAATTTGCATCTCTTTTTAGGATTGAGTGTCAGCTCCTTGATTTTGTTTTGATTTTGCTATTTGTATTACTTCCTATGCATTAGAAAGTGCACTAAAGACTTGGGAAAATCATTTAGTAAGTTACTTTTATATTTTTATTGTATCAATAGCACCTCAATGGTGTCTCACATTACAATCAATACTGCAGAAACATCAGAAAGCAATTTCTATTCAAATAGCATTTATATATTTCCAATCCTCTGCTCTTTCTTTAATTTGCAAGTTATTATTCTTCCCATTATGAAAGTCAAAATATTTTATAATGGACTAGCTGATACTTAGACATTAAACTAAGATAAATGTGGTCACTATGGCAAGAGGGGAGAAGGTCCTGTGACTCACTAAATGTCATGCAATGACTGCATATCCCTGATATTAATCATTCTCCAATGAATAAACATGTCTTCAGTTGTCTTAGCAGTCCCAGAAAATCCCCCTTAAGCCTTTTTGCCTGATTATTTTGCTCTCCTCCAAGATGATCTCTAAAACCTATATCTTGACCAAGCAATTGGTCACCTGTCCAAATCTCCTTATGTAGATCAGTGTCAAAGTGTTTTTAATAATGCTCATGCGAAATGCCTTGGGACATTTTATAGCATTATTTAAAGGCACAGGAAATGCAAGTTGTTGTCACATGATCAAATCTTCAGGAACACATCAGATTTAGCAACCCACAGCTTGGGAACTGATTCTAAGCTTAAAATTACTTCTTTCAAATAAAGTGAGTCTCAGCGGTGATGAACTAGAGTACAAGTTTGTGAGAGGAAGGAATGTCATTTTGAATTTTGTCGCAATCAGGAATGGAGGAAGGGAATATTTAAAAGATTGGTCCTGAAGCTGCTTTAAAAATCTTTTCAGCAGTATTGAGAATGAGGGGTAAGTAATTGTGGGAAACACTGGCTGAATGTTAGTTATTATGGCAGCCAAGATATAGCCTTTAAAGTTGAGCGATGAACCCAGTGCTCCTAGCTACCTTTCCCAGTCAGATATAGAACCACTTTGGTGCAGATTCAAGAAATAAGATGGCTGCAGCTTCTCTGTCATTGTAAAAAAACTTGTTGATGTAGGACATACTTCAGAGACAGGCAGATGGTATTGGAGCAGCTGTGTAGTCATCAGGGTATATATGTAAACAGACATCACGCTTCTGGGTAATAAGGTGGTCTCACCTTTAATCCAATGTGCTCCTTTATTCAAATAATCCATAAATTAATAATATTTATAAATAAAGAAACATTTCTGAAGATTTATCAGCAACTCTCTTCATTGAGAGTCTAGTTTTGATTTCCGTCTTTTGTTTTACAGTTGAACGTAATAAATTATGCAATAGAGCATGTAAGTTTTTAAAAGATGGATGAATGATCTGCTGGATTGAATTAATCACTTTTAAAGCTAAAGGTCAGAATACTGCAATTATCAGATGGACGAAAAGGTTGACTGTGGTCACTATTTTCTACTGAGATCTTTACTGAGCATTCTTGGTGTAGAATAGCACAAACAATACTAATACTTAAAAATAAACTGGATATCAAACTTGCCAGATGAGGACTGAAATGCGCACAGATTTTCCTTTTAGGAACACAAACAAACAGTGACAGACTAATTCCAAACATACAGAACAAACATTATGGTCTACTTACTCATCCTCCCATCTTGGAGGCACTGATTCCATATTCTTCATCTAACTGCCCTATGTGGGTATAAGAGGCAGGATAGGATATACATGTCAGAAGTTCATGGAAAGGGAGAATTGTATTTCACAGAGGAGATGGTTAGAAATTCTTAGTGGAATATTGTGAAGGTGACAAATGCCTTGGTCACTGGTAGCAGAGCAAGTGAGACTTCCATTTTCCAATTTTTGGGAAGGCCAATCACATCACTCAGCCATTGGACTGTCCACCCAGCAGGCTTTCGCCCGTGATCCAGGACCAGTGGATGTCCCATCTGTCAAGAGCTACTGGCCAATTAGAAACTAGCAATTCTATTGAACAGCAGTACAAGCAGGAGGCAGAGGTTCTCAACCAGTCACCCTCTTCCTAATACCAGGTCCCTCGATCAGACGTTGTGTGTCTTTGAACAAGGGACTCTTCCCCAACACTTCCCTCTCCCATAACCTGCAAGCTAGGAGATCCCTGCATGATGAGATTCCCATCCATTGCCATGTTAATGCTAGTGACAGCTTCGATGAGGTCCTCAAGGGGGCATCAACTGGAGCCATCCACAGAATTAATGGGGGTTGGAAGTGGGACGATGCCAAGATCTCTATCGAGACACCACCCCCTGTTACCAAACTCTGCCCCACTCACATTCTCTTCTACCACAAATCATACCATTTGGTAAGGATATAATATTGCATCCTGGGAACCAGGCCTGTTTTAGCCCATTCATCCCAAGGTAATGAAACCACTGTTTCCTCAACTGCAGTCACCCTAGTTTGAATCAGTTGGACTAATTCTTACTAACATACCTGCTGAAAATTTAATAGTTTCAGGCTGGCCGCCTGATTAACATCTCAAACAATTTTATACTCCATTGACTTCAGAGATAAAAGCCTTTTATCAAAAAAAGCACGTGTAATCTTTTGATAAAGGTGTGCAGTAACTTGCACATATTTGTGTTTCAAGATAATAGCATTTTGTTAAAAATACTGATCCAAGCTGATGTCACTAGTCCTATTTTAACACACAGCTGAGCTTCAAAGTAATAAAAGAATCCCTGTGTAAGTATTCATCTCAAATATGATCCATGGAAGCTGTGTCTGCGTCCTCATTAATTTGGCTTGGGTTGTGTGTGCATATATCTCATTATGACTCTTCACCTCAAAAGAATGGCTAAACAGGGACCTGTTGAGTGCGTGGATATCTGGCAGAGACCAATTTGGAGAAACACTAATTTTACAGATTTTTACACTTCTTGTCCTCAGCTTAAATTCTGGCCAGTATTCAAAAATGTACAATTCCAGCAACATTGCTCTATATTTCAAAAGAAAAAATATTTTCAGCATAATCCATGAGAACTATAACAGAAATATAAAAATACATCTTCAATTATTCAAAAAGGTTTTCAGCTTGCAACATCAAATATCATTTAACTTGCTGAATATTTCTAACATTATACTTGAACAAAAAATATGTTTTGAAATAATGAATAGTTCATTTGAGACTACATTGATCCATTTGTTTTTAATAACCTCAGTCAGTAAAAAGACAATTGTCATCCATTTCATTACATCCTTTTGCTTGATTCAAGCCTTGAAAAATTTGTCCAGCTTGCTAACTAGATACAAAAACTCATTTGATCAGCAGTGCAAGAGGTTTGTGTTGGCAGATGTTTGTGTTAAAACACAGATGTCAAAACATATCAAGTAATGCACAGAAACATTGTGCAGCTTATTACAGGTGCAGCTTAGTTTGTTCAAATCTGGTTCTTTTGGTTTTATCAATAACAGACACAGGTTAAAAGGGGTAATTTGTGCTTACCTTGAGCAGGAGGCAGGGAACCTTTCCAGTAGTCAGCAAATGTCAAAGATCATGGTCAGTATACTTTTGAAATTCCAATAGGTGCTAATGATAACCTGCTGCAAGTGCCACAGCATTATTTCATCGAGTGTTACAGTTTACAAAATGGGCATTTAACATCACAAAAAATGACTTTATCCAGCTTCATGGTGTTTTACATCTGGCTTGGGTCTTGCCTCTACTTTTCGTATCTGGAATGTTTCTAAACAACTTATCTTCCAATATATGTGGCACCATACCTGCTACAAACTTTCAATGCAAAGAAAAACCTAGAGGAGTGAATATTCTTCTGGGTTGTTCAGTAAAGACATGATCAAATATTGTGTTATTATGGTGTTAATCTGCTTGACTTCTTGCCCTGCTGAAATGAGAAAGTATTAACTCACACTTGTGATGTTCATTTTTACAAAGGAACATGCAAAATACTGATGGGATAATTCACAGGAGGAATATATAGTTCATTACTGGTAATGCTAAAAAATATTCATTCTGTGTTCAAATCCCCCCCTTCATCTCCCACACCATTTTCTCTGCAACTGCATCCAGACCTACACCCTCAGTACTCTACATTCATTTAATTTTGTCCGTGAGTGCACCTCCAATTTTCATCATACCACTACTGGCAGCTGTGCCTAAATGTGCATGCATCCCATATTTGGAATTCCCTCTGTAAATGTCGGCTTTATAGCTTGTTCCTCTTTAAAACAATCCTCCAAATCTACATTATTCATTATATTTTGTTCCTGTCCTTATAGCTCCTAATGAAGCTATATGTCAAATTTTGACAACAATCAAATTTCAATGCAGCACCTTGTGATGTTTAAGGACTACCTAAATACATGTTGTTCTTGTTGTAAACTGGGTCCAAAAGTACCAGAGTCTGCATTGCAGTTCATGAGTTCTCCATCAGCCTAGGAAAGAGTTACAATGCCAAAGTGGCTTTAATCTGAAAGGGTCACATTCCTACTCCTTATTTGCTACATAATTATGTGTAGGCAACTCCTGAAGACTATTTTTTTGAGATGTACCCCATAATAGAGCAGTGCATCATGCTGCCATTTGCTACCTTGAAAACTTAAAGGTCTGTTTTCAAAGTCTTCCTTCTCTAAGGAATTGTACTCCAATCCCTCCATGATGCTGTGTTCTCCCTGGCATCTACAGCACAATGCTCTCTTTGAGATCTCCGTAGCAAATCAAGACGCAATGGAACCCACAGGTTCTCACCATAACAGCTGGTGGAATTTAAATTCAGTCAATAAATTTGGAGCTGAAATCTAGTCTCAGGAATGGTGACCACAAAACATCAACTGTAGAAACCAATCTGGTTCACTATGTTTTTGATGGAAGAAAATTTATTTTCCTTACCCAGTCTAGCTTACATAGGACTCCTGATCTACAGCAATGCGGGTGATTCTTAAATGCCCCCCGAAATGACCGAAGCAAGCCTCTCTGTTCAAGGGCAAATTGGATGGATAACAAATGCTAGTGATGCCCACAATACATGGAAGAATACATCAAAAACTATATAATTTAAAAAGATCAGGAGACTTGAATTTTGATAACTCTGTTGCTGAACCAGAGAATGTAAACCTCAATAGGATAAAAACAAAGCACCACAAATGCTGGACGCTGGGAAACCTTTATTATCTCTTCCACTTGCTCCTCCTCCTTTTTTTCACTGTATAAGACCCACCACTTTTCTAGCCCCCCTCAATTCCAAAGAGTCATATTAAATGTGAAACATTAACTGCTTCTCTCTTCATAGATGCTTCCAAATCTGTTGAGTTTCTCCAGTGTTTCTGTTTATGCCCACAAATCACAATGGGACCTGGCAGCTATAATATCAGGTCCTGGCAGTTGCAAACTGTTTTCTGTGTTTAGTCCCATGGCAGCAACTTGACTCTTCACTAACTCAGTTATATTACAAATATCTCTTCACATCACTTCTTATTGAGGCTTTTATGAACCTAGAACTGCAGTTCCCTTAAGTGTTTACTTTCACTTGAATACAAACTACTTTTGAAATGGTAAAGTAACTGCAAAGTAGTAAACCCTTATTAGATCCACCAAACGGAAGCATCTTCAGATTGACACCAGTTAGTGTATTCAGAGTTAGTCCCCAAGTACAGCACTGATATATTATGTGAGCAAATTCTCCAGTGCTAACATTGTGCAAGGCTACTCAAGATAATGCATAAAGGTTAGATATATTAATTTAATTGGTTGTTGAAGTGGGTAAGACAAAATATTAGGAGACCTCTGAAGCAGAAATAGGACACAATTCAACATTAGAGATACTGAGTTACAAAAATTCATAAAAAGGTACCCTAAAAGATTCAGTACTTGAGTTATATGTTGAATTTTTACATTATTGCAGATTACAATAACAGCAGATATTTAAAAATCAGTACAAACAACTGAATTATTTGAAAACTCCCTCTTGGTCCTTCTTGTGGACAGATCCATAATAAATATGTCAAATTGTTTCAGTAAGACACAAGGTTCAGATTCTGTTCATCTTCATTGTTCTGTAAGAGATACAAGAGTATTACGTGTACATTGTGTGATGCCATACTGAATTATCAACTGGAAGTGAACACAAAAACAAAATCAATCTGAAGTGAATGTCAATATCTGCAGTACTCTGTCACAACAAAAGATCATAACCCCAAATTATTTCAGTATATTGAACTTTCAAATTAAATATTTTTGTAAAATGATCGATATACAAGCCAAAAGTTGGCTGAGAATGTAAATTCAGTGGCCACCTGAAACATTTGTGTGGATTACACCAAGCCCTGATAGGAATCCCGGAATATCTCACCTGAAGCATGTCAAAAGTACGTCAGACAGCAACACTTTGAAGAGAGAGATGCCATTTAAAAAAGATTGAACGGTAATCTCCCATGGCTACTGAGGTAATGAGGGTCTCATCTGCCCCTAAACAAAACACGAAAAAACTGCGGAAGCTAGAAATCAGAAACAAAATAAGAAATTGCTGGAAAAAACTCAGCAAATCAGACAGCATCTGTGCAGAGAAAGCAGAGTTAACATTTCGGGGTCCAGTGACCATTCTTTAGATCTATTTCAGAAATATTGAGTTTTGTGAGATACAGTGAGACAACTTGCTAGTCAGGCCTTGTGGTGACATGATCTTCAAAAAAAAAACACAATTCAGGCTTAGCCAAAAAAAAATGCTAGATTCAGTCCAATCTCTTGGATTGCAGCAAAGCCACTGTTGAAGGAAACTGGACAAACTCCTTTAAGCTAATTGTAGAACCAAGAATCTCCAAATAACATCTTAACTGCCAAATTCAGTGCTATCGGATTCACCCACTTTAATGGCCTCAAGAATTCATGAAGTATTTGTGCGGACAAGCTGAAGGCAGATTCTTTTTTCTCGACTTTTGCTTTTCAGACTTGTCTCTCTTTTCTACTCTGAAGTGTATTTGTGAATGGAATATGGGAGATCTTGCTAGATAATAGTCAGACCACAGCTGGAATACTGTGAACAGTTTTGGGCCAATATATACGGACTTTGGAGGCAGTCAGAATAGGATCACTAGCCTGATCCCTAGGATGGAGAGATTGTCTTACGATGACAGGTTGAGTAAACTGGGCCCGTACCCATTGAAATTTAAAAGAATGAGAGGTGACCTTATTGAAACATACAAGATTCTTACAGTACTTGTTAGTGTAGATGCAGAGAGGTGGTTTCTTTTTGTAGGAGAGTCCAGGACCAGAGGTCTCAGAATTAGGGGTCACGCATTTAATACAGAGGAGGAATTTCTTCACTCAGAAGGTAGTGAAGCTGAAGAATTCTTTACTGTAGGGGGCTGTTGAGGCTGTGTCATTATGTCTATTCAAGCTTGAGATACAGATCCTCAATCAATAAAGGAATTTAGGGTTATGGGGAAAAGGTAGGAAAGTGGAGCTGATGATTATCAGATTATCCATTATCTCTTTGAATGGTGGAAGAGATCTGATGGGCCGAATTGTCTACTTCTGCAACCTATGTCTTATGTATGTCATGATTTATTGTGTTCTCTCTTGTTTCAGTAGCTAATAAACTCACTCCTTCTTTAACTCAATAAAGCCTGGTTAAATTAACTGCTTTTAAGACAAATACATATGGACTGAAGAAAAGTATTCCACAAGATATGGGATACTTTTAAAATTAGCCTTGTTGTGCCCAAATGAGGGAGGGGTTGAGTAAAGAAGAGGAGCCAGTTCATACCTCCTCACCCAAAAGTATAACTATTTGGGTCATCCCATATGGAGACATGACAAATTGGAGACTCTCGCTCAGGACTGGTTGTAACAGGTTTTCGATGGACAAATTTTCTAGAAACTAGAATCTTGCATCTGAATTAATAGGTTGCACATTCAAGTTCTACTGCAGGACTTGAGTATAGCAATCCAGGTTGACATTCAGTGCAGTATTAAGGGAGCGCTGCAGTGTCCAGAAGTGCCATTGTTCACATGAGATGTTAAAGTGAGGCCACATCTTCCCTCTCAAGTTGAGATAAATTAAAATATCCCACACTTTGACGGATAAACATTTGTCAGCATCAGAGAATAACTCCCTTTCTCTTCTTCAATCAGCACTACAATAGGGTGACAAATTGGCTGTTGTATTTCTTACATCATAACAGTTCAAACAGTACTTAAAGTGGTTATAAAGTAATTTGGAATGTCCTACAGTTATGAAAGGTGCAACAGTCATAGTCATAAGGTTTTGCAGCATGGAAAGAGGCCCTTTGGCCCATTGTGTCTGCACTGGCCATCAAACATTATATACTCTAATCCCATTTTCCATAACTTAGTCCATAGTCTGGTTTGCTTTGGTGTTCCAAGTGTTTCCATAAATACTTTAACGTTGTGATTATTCCCACCTCTGCCATCCTTTCAGGCAGTGTGTTCCACATACCCACCACTCTCTGGATGAAAAAAAATTATTTCTTAACTGCCCTCTAAAACTCATGGCCCTCATCTTAACCCCTAGTTATTCACCCATCTAAGTGGAGAAGTTTCTTCCTGTCTATGCCGCCCATAATTTCATTTACTGCAATCAGGCTCATCCTCAACCTACTCTGCTCTAAGGAAAACCACCCCAATTTATCTAGTATAACAAGGTGTAGAGCTGGATGAACACAGCAGGCCAAGCAGCATCAGAGGAGCAGGAAGGCTGACGTTTCGGGCCTAGACCCTTCTTCTTCATTTTCTGAAGAAGGGT